TAAACGATCAATTCAAATTATAACGATATGCATATTGAATAACAGTTGTTAACTCTCAACGTGTTTGTATATTATCATTTAGCGACATTTTAATGGCCGTGTCGTTTAATAAAGGTTATTCAAACGAGACGCTCGTTAAAACCTCACGCTCAGTTAAATAATCAGGCTACAAATTATACTGTAAGCTTCGAATCGCTTATGTTACTTTGGATTTACTGAAACTTTAATAAGAATTCAAATAAAACATGTAAAGCCTTTTTATAGATTTCAAATTAAAACATAACATTATTCCGGTTTTAATAAATTGAATAGTTTTATAAACTAATTTGAAACATGGAACTATTTTTAACATTATGTTACTTTAAATTTTAATAGTCTTATGTATATTTAGAATAGAGGAAAAGTTATGTATGGAGTTTGTTAATATCAAAATAAAAAGTTCAAGGCGGTGATTTTCATACAAAATAAATAATAACCGCCCCTAGCCTGAGGGCTGTTAAAATTTATCGATGCCATAAAATATATGAGCAAAAAATAAAGTATCCTTTTAAAGGTTCAAATATCTAACCATTAATATGTTTATGTTTTGGTTTCGGCAATGGAAACTCTTATGTTACTAAATTACTTTAACCCATAGTATATTTTTTCTATCACTAGTATGTCCGTACAAATCTTACTAATATTATAATGTGTAAGTTTAGATGGATGGATGGATGTTTGTTGAGTTTATAGCCTAAACGGCTGAACGGATTTCGATGAAATTTGGCATAGATGTAGAAGATAGTCTGAAAGATCACATAGGCTATTCACTTTTTTTTTTCAATACCACGCGGACGGAGTTCCGGGCGAAAGCTAGTTATAAATAAAAGTTTGTTACAGTTAATTTGTCAACTCGTCGGGGAGTTGTGGAACTGCACACGTTGGGGCAATTAAGGCCTTGACAATGACATTCACAACGAATGCAAATACGCGGCCGGCACTTTTGAACTCTGTCGTGTCCAGCGCGTGCTAACTTCACTATATACATAAGTACGAGTACATACATTCGGCCCGCGTTAGTTACTCCATGTGTACGACTCACTGAACTTTGTAATTGTGTTGTTCATGCAAATAGTTATTCGACTGTTTCATTCGTCTAGTCGGATAGTATAGCAGTGCTGTGATGAAAAACTTAATCTAAAATCTTATAATATAAACAGTATTAACTGAAAACAAGCTCTAATTGAAATTTATTTTTTTTTCATCAAACCTCCATCGAAAACCATCATTCGTAGGTTTATTAACATAAGCGGGCTTAAGCAATAAGACAAGGGCTTTTTAATAATTAGGAATTAAAAAAAAATATATAATAATTAGGAATTAAAAAAATAATAAGTTATTATTTCACACAAAAATAAAGAGAACTTCATCTTGTTTGTTTACAATTCCGTAGACGTAAAGAGGCAAACATTTCCTTTCAAACAAGAAAGAGCCGTTTAATGATACTTTGTAAATATCTTTCACAAGGCTAAAAGAATTTACAGTAATGTAAACACGAAAAGTTTGCTTTCGAAGTGCAGGAATTGAGGCCGGAAACACATTTCAGAGTCAACTGCGTGGAAATATTAATTCGAAGCTGCGACACAGCCGCGGCGGGCCCTCGAGCATTCAGGGAGTAAATCTTCTATTTTCAGTCGCAAACACGTTACGTACCAACTATAATATTGATTACGGTAAAACATGGAATATTACACTTGTGGAAGTTCTGACTGACAGTTTTAACTGAAGAGTCTAACTGAGCGTATGTGGCGCGTTAAAAGCTGACACAGATCTAAAGCCATTTACACTTTTCGAAAGTTGATTATTTTCTGTAATGTTTTTTTGCTTTACGCTACACATAATTTAAGTTATTATTTCTAATAATTTTATTCGTAATTAATTTAGTATTAACAGAGATTAAAATATATTAATAAAACATGTTCAATGTTTAATAGCATGAGATAGAATTAATTTATATATAAATTGAGTCGTACAAATAATTAATTACTGAATAATGAAATTACCTGTGAATACATTTGGCTGTAACATTAATTCCAAATCTGATTTAAAGATTAGTGAACGTGGGTCGGGACGCGCGCCGCCGCCGCGTACTACCTACGCAACATAAATTGTAGTCTAAATCAAATATATGGGGATAAGCACTTAGCCTGATTATCTACAAAGCTATCGATTAATCTAGCCCATTGTTACATAGTAATGTATACGGTAATATATCTAACAGCAGCATTCTCTGAAGTTTTCATTACTATTCCATATACAGGAAAAGCTGATTATTTTTCCTTCGATATGAATCATTTAGTTTTCTTTCCTCAAAAACATTAATACTATTGGTTTTTTGTCGGCTAGTTAATTTAATAGTCGCTAGATTGGTTGGTTAACTACGACTTGTTCTGTGACAAGTCGGAGTTGTCCACAGATTTATAAAATGCGTCTCAAGTTTTTTATAATAGTAATTTTTATTACATCTTAAAACATTAAACTAAACTAGAATAACATCGAATAAGTCGAAGTGTATAAATTAACACAACTGTTAGGTATTGTGTGCTAAATGTATCCAACATGCAATTTCACTTTCCAATTTACGAGGTAGCTTTGTCTCGTCGCCCTTTGATTTTACGCCTTTCAATTAACCAGTAATCATACACGCCCCGGGGACCCCTTCATTAAACACTGGTAATGAGTTTTCACCCTTCGTCGAACAGTGGACATCGGAGCTTTGGTAAACTAACAACTCATTTAGTCTTTTTTTACTTTCGAAATTGATGATTTTAGTTTAAAAGTATATTTTTTAATAATATTTGGAAAAACATTTAACATCGCAAATTATAAACTTTAGTATACGAAAACTTTGGTATAATCTTGCTATTATATGTAAATGAGAAACTTTAGATGGATGGATGGATGTTTTTAAGAGTTTGTCACCTAAAAAACTAAACGGATGTCTATAAATTTGGCATAGATGTAGAGCAAAGTCCGGAAGAACATATAGGCTACTTTTAATTTCATACGAACGGATTCGCGGGTGTAATCTACTTCAACATAATGTCGTAAAGAATAATTTTCTTGACTGTCAGGTCTATGTTAAAGAGAAATAGATAAATTGTGTTGGATAGTAGTAAAACAATAAAACTTTCTGTTCAATTCGTAAACACTGCAAACGTAAACGTACAACGAAAAATAAAATTCTAGCCGGAAATTAAAAGCTACCTGCAGCTTCAACCTCTTCAGTTATTTGCAGACTTGAAACACGTAGCTTGTTTCCATTTGGTAAAGGTTTAAAAAATGTCTAATTTATGTGAGACTTAATCATTTCTTATTAAATGTAGGTAATTGTAATGTTTAGTTTTTGAGACGGTCATTTGTAAAAGTTCCGACTCGCAGAATACAAGACATTATTTACTTATTTTTTTAGTTTTTCGCGCGATGACAGATTATAAGATTGTACCTGGAACAGAACGATGTCTTCTCATTTCAGTTGTTATTCTTTAACATTAACAAAATAATGTTATTTATTCTGTTATAATTTAATTTTAGGTAAATGAAAACAGATATTTTACTTTTATATTATCGTTTAATGTGAACAATGAGAACATTTATGAAAAAATACATTTAATAAGTTGCAGTCGGTTACATTATCTGGCTGTAGAAAAATCATTGTCAGTCTTGACGCGGTTAAAATTGACAATAAAATTAGACATTTCAGGTATATAATTGTCAATTATATTTTAAAATTCCATAAAAAACAGAAGGAATTGGTAATTTTATTATTAAAGACTTCAAAAGCGAGGTCAATTTTACGGTTTTAAAAATAAAAGTACCGCATTTTAAGTTTAATTCTATAAACTACAAAATCCACTTTTGACATCGAATCATTTTAAATTATAACGCTGTGTTTCTTCCAAAATACTTGAAGTTAAATAACAAAAGTATATTTTTGTGCGCGTCTTACTGTAGAACACATCCACGGTTATACGCATAACTTAACTGTGTGCATTGAAGTTATATGACTAAGCTACATAACAACTGTACAGTTTATAATAAGAGTTGCATAAGAAATATAATGGTACAATATTATATTACCCGTTGCTAACAAAGCAATAAATAAAAATCCACATTTTAAATGATTCTTCTAATATAACATATTCAAATAATGAAATGTTAAAATAAGATTTTTTTTTTAAAAATTCATTTAATTATAATTTAACTAAAATTACAAAATATAAAAGATAACTATTTACATTTTAATAAAACCTTAACTATTGTATGAGTAATTATGAAAATAATTTGTCGTCTGTTTTTCTGAAAGTAGGTTATTTCCGTACCTAGCGAACCTCTTTGGCACAAAATATACTTTATTATGGTAATTTGAATATTATAATATAAAGATTATACTAAAAAATGCCTTTATATAAGATTAATTAATGTTAAGTAGATGTATTACAATTTACAAAGAATATTTACAAATTCGCCCGTACTACATTTCGCGTTTTTGTTATAGGCATTTAAATCTGATACTGTTTTGGTAGTTCATTATAATTTTAACATCGTTCCCAAAATATCATTTCTAATAACATGAAAGAAAACTGCTAACAAACAGTTGCTCGGCAACGATTCTTAACTCATTGGCATGAAAATAAATTGTTTGTACGATGTGTAAATTGGAACATAATTTTTATACGTTCCAACTTTATGTATTTATATAATTATAAAAATAAAAAATACATGTGTACTCAATGTAGGTCAAAGCCGAAAACACTTGGAAAACTATAACCTCATTTTTATATCAATAACAACCTCAAAATAACAATTGAAGTACTTGAAAGGTTTGAATTGTTGTAATTAGCGGGTAATTTCATTAGCAAATTACAATTGGGACTATTCGCAAGTTTTAAAAAACAGTAAAAATTAAGTTTATAAGTTATTTTTTTTGAGAAATGATTTAGTACAAAAAATTTGACTTCCATCACAATTCAGTACTCATTTCTGCAGGCCCTTGTTTCCCCGCGTCCACAGATGTGGATGCTTCCTTCATTCCTGATGCAGATTCGTCCGATGTTTTTAATTGCTCTGAAGCCTGTATCGTAAAAATATAAATTCAATAAAATCAGATAAAAATATAAATCTGGAATAGTAGTAAAACACAAAATTATTACATAATTTTTAATCACTGAACACGAAATCATATAAATAATATAAAATATACATATTTATAAAAAATGTTAATTTGTTAGTTAGTTAGATTTTCACCACAAGCTCTCCCAATACGTCTACCCAGTCCCCGCATGCACTAATTGAGACAAACAAACATATAAAGGAGCGTGCTACCGCGACCGCGAGCTCCCGGGCCGGGCGGACAAACCCGGGCGTGCAGCTAACATTCCGCTACGACACATAGGCCTTATTAAAAATCCCCTCTCAAGCTCGAGCCTCACTTTAAATTCACGCCGCGTCACACTTTTATAATAATCACTTTTAAGTTTAACTTACAAACTCGATTATGTCCTGACCCAGAAATATTTTATTAGAATTGTAACAACTACTGAAGAATAAAAACTTTAGAGTGTACAATAAAATTTAAGTTATATCAAAATCTTTTAAACGTAGTCTCTTTTAAGAACGTCACGATTATAAATAGTTATGTTGTTCGTTTAGAATCACAAAGTATTCGCTTTTCAAAGTGTGAGAATGAAGAGTGATAATGCTTGAGAGTGGGTTTTTAAGGAAGGCAGTAGAGCTCTCGAGCCTTACTTACTGCGTGCTCTCAATGAGTGGTTTTAAGATAATATCGAGAGTGTTGTCGTGTCGCACGTGCGCATGGTGCGCATGGTGCGCGTGGTGCGCGTGATGCGCGAGGCGGGCGTGCGTGCGCGGCATGTTGGCGTTGCAGTCGCGCCCCTCCCGCAACTCCCGCAACTCCCGTGACGGCCGCGCGTACCGCCGCGCCAGCGAACCGCTCTCGCCCACCATTACATTGTTGTTGCTAGCGTGTCTCTGCGTATCCCAATTCAAATTCCATTCAAACTACCGTCTACACTAATAAAGCCTGAAATTAAGATCAATCGAACCCAGAAAAGGCAAATAGTAAAGTACTAAAATAGTTTTCTAAATAAAATTTGTAATGGAAAAATTATTGCGAACCGGACTTTATTCATACTTTAGCACTTCGCCATTCGTAATGCTGGAATTTAAGCCCCTCGAAGCATAGTTTGAAATAAGTTACAGTGAAAGTTTTGTTCGCAGAACAGAGTTCTAATGATGCTGCCACAGTTGAAAGAAGTTCGTCAGTAAATTAGACTACCCTACAATATTTTATATAGCTTAGAAGATATTTATCATTATAAAAAATATATTTCTTGATGACTCGATGAAAGTATTTTCTTGACTCGATATGAAATTTTTTGAAGATATGCAAAGTATCGAAATGCGTCATTTGATATTATACAAAACGCAACAGTAACAACCCAATAAATTTCAGTAAACATTTTCTATTTACTATGTCTATTCTGGAGTTTTGTATAAAATCAAACAAAGACCAATGAAAATAATAGTACATTTTGTATGTTCACTGATGTATGATTGTGTCCAGCGGCCTGTATTTACACTGTTAACATGTAGGCTATGATGTAGCGCCCGGAAACAGGAGCTGCGAGTTATACTGACGACCCCCGCGACGCACTGCTTTCATACTAAACAATATGCCTCTATACAATTGTTTTGTATCGAGTTTTGATAGTAGTTATGCTTCATAATCACAAGTGAAAACAAAATAAATTTATGTGCTTTTAGAAAGGAAATTATGATAAAGAAACGAAGTATGAATTAAGATATTTACATGTTTCGTACATTTTACCTGATATAGACTATATTTATTTAAATGTGCATTTATTTGTGATCAGGGTATCATAAGATTATCACTACCTAGATTCGAATATTTGAATGGGGTCGTCAGACGGCGGAAGACTGTTAGAAAGCGAAGCGCCCACTCACGAAGAGAGAAAAGCCACTGTCTGCGGGGTGAGGGTAGCGCTGCGAGAGGTCGCGCGCGCGCCGAGAGGTGGCGCTGTCGCTAGCCACCGACAGCAGCGAGCGCTGCGAGCCCGAGGCGGACATGCGCGTGCGAGGCGCGGCGGGCGGCCGGCGCGCCATCCCCGCGCCCGCGCCCGCCCCCGCGCGCCCCGCGTACCCCGCACACCCCGCGCCCGCACCCAGCGTCCACTGCCTACTCACTGGCACTGTGCCACCAGAGCCCCCGGCGCCGCATTTCGCGCTGTCGCTCGACCTACATCAAAATAATGCCTAAAGATACAGTTTAATGGAGAACCTTTAATTATTGGAAGCAATAGACAACTACCAAGTAACAATGCATGTGAAATCTTCTACGGTTAACTTAAGCTTTTCCCAATAGCTTTCATTCTATAAAGCGTCTGGTACCTCATTTCCAATTATTATAATTATTTCATTAAGTTGTTTTAATTTACTGAGGTCGTAGACATGAAAACTAAAATATATGAATACTCGTCTTTTTTGGAATAAGCTTGAGATCCAAGAAGAGTGCTCAGTACTCAGTGTTGAGTTTTAATGAGCTTCTTAAACCTTAGCATAACGACGCATATGAAAATGCGACTCTACTCAACAAGTATATTTGACAAGACCAAATACTTAGGTGTATACTTAAACAAAAATACATTTCGCGGTTTACTTTATTTCAATGGCAATGTTCTGAAAATCTTCAAGAAACAAAAGCTTTTGAAACACTATATTATTTAGAAAAGTCAGAATTTTTAACTAAATACGTTCATTTACCTTTCTGAAGAGTAAGCGTAGTCCTGGTCTGCTCCTAGTCCTGAATCAGTATGTTCATGTGACACGCGGGCGCTGCCAGAGATTAATTCCCCACTGGAACTATTACTATTACTGTTTGTGACGGGGCTGTAAGGGTTGTTGTTAGCCCCCGGCGTCGGCGGGCCCTTGTAGCCGTTATTTAGAAAATCATCGCCCGACCGGGTCAGTTGTTCTTCGTAACCTGAATAAGCCCGTCTGTAACGAAAGCTACTGTCATTGAAATTCATCAACAATATGGGCAAATTAATTAAATTAGTGTAAATCTTTTTCAGGGAAGAAATTAATTTAATAACATAGAAAAATCCACATTATTTTCCCTTTGCGTCAAGTTATAACAGCACGGTGGCTCGCGGTAATTCAAATTAATTATGATGTGACATTAGAGAAGCAGTTTATAAATAAAAGGAAATCTTAAAAATGCTTTAGCAGCTAATTGTGAAATAAACATAAACAAACCTTCCATGTTTGTCATTATTTCTGTGCGTACTCAAAGTACTAGAACTTGACCTTAACGACCCTTGGTTGTGAATGTCTTGGTTACTTTTTACAAGAGAGCCTGAGTTTTTCTCCCTCCTCGACAACGAGCCGGGTTCGCCCCTGTAGAAATAAATTAAATCAAAATCTTTTAAAATATCGGACTCGCATTTGTTAATTAACTTTACATTATTTTTTTAAGAACACTTCGAATTTTTACAAAGATTTTAAATTATGTTTACATAACAACATAAATGATATTTTTTTTTAAAATAGAAAGTACAGAGGAAATAAACGAAAACTGATTTTAAAATCTTACTGTCGATGTTTCGACGATGTCCGGAGCTTAGTCTGACGCGCGTGACTCGTTTGCACCACCGTGTACGGGATCTCTTTCAATTGTTCCTCCGTCATCCCCGCTGTATCCACTAAAGTGAATTCTAAATGTTGTTTCAGTTCTGTAGGCAGCCATTTCTTCTCATTAGGTGAACCTGATCTTGACCTAAAATAAAGAATATGATAATAATTTTTTTTTAATTTTTATAAATGCTATTTGAACGAGCATTACCGATGTTTTCTATGTCTACGAGGCCTGTGAGATGAACGGTGAGTACCAGTTTCGGGTTCTAATTGTGACCTTCGGACACTCGCAACCTAAAAACAAAAGAAATAATAACATCTATGGTTTTGGATGGTCCAGAGGTGCTTTGGAATAATCATACATGATAATGTTTTTTTTTTTTTATATCAGATATAGGTGGTCACTTACTTGTACGCCGCTGCCGGCATTTGTTTGTCGCAATACTTCTTTCCATTGAGATTCTGAATCTACTAACTCATATTCTCTGTAACAAAAATGATTACTTAGTAGAGAAATTGAATACAAAATATTATTTCATATTCCAGGAACTTGTATATAGAATGGAATCGACATCTCTTTACTTTTTACGATTATAACATTGCAGTATTTTTATCGGATGTAACACTTTTTGTAAAAGCCTTTTTATACCATACATAAAAAGGCTAGTAAAAAGTTCGTGTATTAAAAATTGTAATTGAGGAAGTACAAACTTGGTGTCGGGTTGTGAGTCGTCCCTCTCGGAGCCGGAGTCATGCTTGTGTCGCGAGCGGTGCCGACGATGTCGACGTCCAGAGCGGCCGGAGCGACCCGAGCCCCGTGAGAGCTCGCTCTCTGCGTCCGATTGTTGCCGCCGCGACCGGTGCCGGTGTCTGCACATTATACCATAAAACTATACGATACTATACTAATATCTAGGTTAATATTATCTGATTTTAACAAAGCCGAAGCTACTCGGATATAAATCTTCTTCAGTCTTTTACGTCTCATTTTTGATTTTCTATCACTTGCAGATACAAATACAGACACAAACAGGTTAAGGTTCACAGAATAAGATAAGTGGACTCCTATATAAACGATGTTGTTAAAATAGGTGTGGTTTGTTGTTTCCTGTCAAACACTTTTTATCTGGCACAATCCGATTACGAAACCGCAAAAATCCATCAGATACATCCTTGGTCTGGTAAAGCGAACGTGATCTACTTATTTTTTTTCTACATTACCACTAAAGAAAATAAATTCAAACAATTTGATACATCATAATAAAATTATGCGTTAGAATAACGCAGTCGTTATATAATTCAAAAAGTCAAGTCAATAGTTAATATGGATCATTATAAATTTACAACTGAGTGGAGGCAAAGAAAAGGTGGATTAGAGGGCGCGTAGGCGACGGTTCTCGGGAGCTTTCTTCAAGAGCGCGTCTTAGCTCGTAAGCGTCGTATTTATTACACGATACGCGACATCTCCGGCCTCCGCGCCGTCTGCAGTGCACAGTAACACGACCTTACGCTGCCGTCTTACATATTCACTTCAATTTCCATTACTTATTCACGATAAACAGAGCTGCGATTGAATTTCGGATTTCTGCAGTCCTTGGATTTTTTCCCATTTCGAATCTAAGTTATTTTTATTTATTCGTGTTGAGCAATGACTATAGTTATTTTCCCGACTGATTTATGATCGATATTAGATCATCATTATCTCCAACGGCTAACTCTACCTTGCGTCAAATAGTACTTGTGATTTGAAGAGTTGCCCATGAAACCACCGGTGACTCGAATATTTGATAAGGTTGTTGTTTTTTTTGTCCCCCCGAGAGGGCCAAAATAGCACCTACTGCTATTGCTGAAGCAGCAATCTTGGTTAAAGTTTTTGTTGCGATGTATATGAGTACTGACTTGCGATTCGATCTGGAGTCGTTGGAGCTCTGCGAGTCGACGGAAGCTGAGCGATGTCTCGGGGCGGGCGGTGGCCGTGTGGCGCTAGGCGAGACGGCGTACAGACCGCGCCGCGCGGGCGCAGACCGTGTGGAACGAGGAGACCCGCCTCCCCCACCACCGCCCGCGCACGTCACCTCGTACCCTAAACCCTCGCCGCTAATCCTGCGTTACGAAAATATTTAATGACTAAATAGATCTTTGAGTACAAAAATTAGGAGTTAAAATTGTAAGCATTTATGTAATAACAAGTACCAAATTGAAATCGATCGGATGGTAGTTCTCGATGTCACCTTTGGTCTGGTTGCTTTTGTAATAGTAATGAAAGACGACTTACGAATTAGGACGGTTTACTGACGTAGGTTGTTTCACTTCAGGGGGGCAGTCTTTTATTCTCAAGTCTTCTAGCTTTGGCACTGCGAGCAAACGATGTTAGAATTAATTAGTCTGTCTGTATATCTCGACAATTACATAATGTAATAATATTTACCATCGAGTAAGGAGGAATAAGCCGAGGGGGGCCGCGAAATGCGCCGCGACGGAGTCCTCGTGAAGGCGGGCGGCGGCCGGGGTCGCGCGCCTTTGCCGCTGTCGTAATTAAATATTACGCGTTACAAATGTACACGTTATATTTATTAATTTAATTTTCTAACACAAACAGAAGAACCATGTTACCATATATTATACTAACTGTCTTTGTAAGAAAAAATGAAAAATCGAATTTTAGAATTAGACACTTATAAAGATAAGAAATTCCACTTGCATATGGGAATTGTAGGTTCAACGTTGAATAAGAAAATTATCCATTGTTATTAAAACTAATTTATTTCAAGATGACTTAAGTCAAAGCGAGCGTAAGTTGCAAGTACCATCAGACTAATGTTAGATCGGCTTAAGATCAAACATCAATTACTGGCAATGACGCGTTGTAGCAAAGGGATTAATACTAACATAATCTTCGCTTGATATCTCATTTAACACTTTCAAATATAAGGTTATTGGTGTATTGTAGATTTGAAAATTAACTCACAATAAATATATACAGTCTTTGCCATTTCGTGTTGGAAGCTACTCATAAAAAAGTAAAGATAGCCTTTGTTACTTAGAGGCTTCAGCTTGTGTTTATATAATCTTTAGTAACTGCCTACAAGAAATATAAAATTATATCCACATAAAAATAACGTTACAACAGAATTGCTATTACATTTTTATAAGGCGCAAAATTTTATGATCTTCAGAAATTATGATTTATATATTTATACATGAAGAATATTTACGTAATATCGTTAATCCGTCTGTATTTAGTAACAAAAAATAATTTTTCAAAGTAAATACATCTAAAAACATATCACTTTATAATTTTTGTCACTGTTTAAAAAAGCAAAAGAATGATAGTTACCTACTATGTTAAGTTACTGAAAATGTTATTCAAAAAAATAAATTAAAGATTAACATTAGTTAAAAATGACAAAGATCAGTGACAGAGTACCAGGTATTCAAAGAAACTTAAACAATAATAAATCTTTATAAATGTCAAAACAGTTTCTGTAGCGTCAATAAACAACGTTGTTCAAATTTCCTTAGACGTTCAAGAATACCGCATAACTCGTAACTCAAGATTTGTAATGAATCACTTCAAATTATTACATGGCCGAGAATTACCTAGCGTAGTCAAACTAATATATTGTGGCAAATAAATCATAGCTTAGGTGCGGTAAGCCAAGCACAAGTAAGATTTAATACAATAAGGGTTCACTCGTATGGTGTAAAATACCCTAACACACCGTCTGTGAGGATTACAAGACGTGACTCAATGTGTAATTGTTGAGTAATAATTTATTATTACATTGACTGAATGCAAACCTACTCGTAAATTCGGACATGCCAGTTACCTCTTATCACACTCTTGAAGATAAAAAAAAGTTTTCCATTGACGGATTAAGTTACGGACATTATCATCAAATACAAACTTGGGGGATACAGTTAGTACTAAAATAAATACATTCATAAAGGTTTTATGATAGAGAGATAACAACATTTAACAATTACAAACAATTGACTAATGCCAAGATTTAAAACGTAAGAGCGTGTGAGCGTAACTGCTAAATGGGTTGCGAAACAATCGACAATCGCATAAAAGTTATGCGATAGTTTGGTCACAGGTGTCCGCCCGCTTTAATTGTGAGCAAGGTCGGTGTTATCGCTATGAGAGATATTTAACAGGCAGTTCAGGGGGACAGGAGTAAACACAAAAGTGATTAACATTATACTATACTAGTACCATAGGTACTACCAACATAGAACACCTTGATATAGTAAAGTTAGACTTCACATAGATCCACTTAAAATTTGCATTCCACAAGGGTGCGAGATGAAACGAACTTGCACCCTCTTATTTTCAGCTCAAGGGCCTTTACTTATTCATCCTTTTTAAGTTATCAACTTATCATATCGATTTTTATTACAAAGTGAATTTCCAAATAATATTGAGATATTTATTTTAAATTATACTTAAAATTCAACTTTGAAACACACGATACATTTTTTAGAATAATAAATAGACTCGGTGGCATCTGATAAAATATACCTTTTCATGTAACTACCCGTTTTATTTTTAAAGCACAAAAAAGAACACACATGTCAAGATGTATGAATGTAGAATTAATTACAGAAATGTGACTACCACGGCAAATGGAAATCCGCACACTGCCATTTCACAGTTTACCTGTTTCTTAACCGTGATCCAAGTGCGAACATGTCTGCGGATGCAGGAGACGTCTGCTGCAGACGGAAGAACGCGTGGTGGTCGGAGCAGCATCGCCAAAGATGCCGGCACGCCGCTCGCGTCGGCGACTCGAAGCCGTATGTTAAGGTTTCATTCTGAAATTAAAGATTTATTAAAGAACGGGAATTGTAACATACCAGTAATTTTATTTTCTTCACTGCCTCTATGAAAAGTATTAAAAAATCACGTATTATACTACTTACAATCGGATGGATTTATTATTCATTTTATAAAAACAGTCAAACCAATATAATTCTAAGACAAATGTTTAAAGTATTGAAACATATTTCCTTCTTACGTGTCTCAACACTTCTAATTTAAAATGGTTGAAATAAAATAATAAAACCCCACATAAAGGAGCCGTAAAACATTCGGAATAAGGAAAAGCTCGGAATTCATTTATCACTCAAGTTTATGTGCCACTGTACTGTGGTTTGAGAATATTTTGAAGTCTGTAAAATACGTCGAGATAAAGTCGCGAAGCGGGCGGCGGCGGCGGCTCGGTGTAGCGTCTTATCGGAGCACAGACACCGCACAGTAAATACGACTCTTAGTTCCCCAGACTTATCTGTAATTGCCTGCCTGCGAATGTCTTTCAAGAAGTCGGCATAAGATGGACTCAATCTTACACCATACAAAACTCTACGCAATCCGAACCTGCGATTTGAACATGGAACCAGGTCAAGTCTCGTGCTGTATTGTGTTTGTTCTCTTTGACAACTCTAAGGTTAAGAATGCTTTGATGTGATGCTTTTTTAGCCAGTTTTGTCACAACTTTGCATTTAGCAATAAGAAGGTAATATTATAAATAGGACTTCGTTTGAAATTAATGTTGTTAATGAAGAAGTCAGATACTTCTTTATTATTCCCTTACACGTATGAAAACATGGTAATAAATTATGAAAATGTAGCTATAAAATACGTTACATTTTTGTCAGCGACGCGCAGCATGAAGTATCGTCCTCGGTAGTACAGTTTAGAGACGCGCGGCCAATAATAGTTAGCGACCGTATGCTTGCCGCGTAAAAGCAACAGGCCACTTGGCGCCAGGCCCAGAAAGTACTCCACGCTGTCTTCGCCCTGCATTAAGGAAATATTATCTGTTAGACAATTGTTAAACATAATTCACTTGAACTTGGCGCCCGAAGCATTCTTTGACATTGTTGACTTATGTGACATTGGAGGTCATAGACCCCGTTAATTCTCAAATATTGTGCAGTTAAACAATGTATATTGCTTCTCTGTTTGCCACTACCTCCCTCCTCTCTCGTTTCGCTTACCAATACAGGATGTAAGTCAACGCCGTACATGTCCAGCCATTTCACTTTGTCTAAGTAACTGAGCTCGGCTTGCGCTGGAGAGATTCCCCTGAAATGGAACAATATTGGTATAAATCATGTCGTTACTTTGTTAGATAAATTGTCAAACATGAATAAAACATACACGTAAAATATTTAAATGTAAGCCTATAACGGAGAGAGTAGGTAGAAATTCCAAACGACCGATTTTTTCAAGTGTTCTGTAACGCTTTGCTGTGTGGTGCTGAGTCAATAAGTAATTCGTTTATCGCGTAATTGTAGACAACAATGAGCAATCAGGTGCGAGCTAGCCGGACGCCAGTAAACACCTAGGTACACGTAATTTGCATGTAATTGCGTCTTTGCCGCTCTCCCGCGGTCCGCATCTTTGCATACTGAAAAATTCATTCAATTAAACGGGAAAGGTGGCGACGTTTCGCTTGCGAAGCCGAGTCTGACTTTTAGTGCTATTAAATTGCATCGCAAATTCCTCATTTCTTGATTTTCTTATAAAGAAGATGAACTCAATGTATATTTTATTAAAATTAAACAGTTTCTTCTGGTATAATGTTAAAGATATTATTTTATTACTACAGTTCTAATTCCACATATTAAAGTAGAAATAATGTTGGTTTTAAAAGGAAAAATCTTTTCCTTATGAATTTCTAATATGATCATGTCTACTTGGTCTAATGAACACGTATTTGTGTAGGTGATATGCCTATTGAAATGTACATACCTACTTATATAGAGATATAGTATACTCACGTAAGAGTCCGATGAATCTCAACCGCCCTGGCCTCCAGCTCAGGAGTCTGATGCGATAGTAGACGGAACTCAGAAACGTACCCGGGCCCGTGTCGACGAGGCTCGTAGTCACCCAGCTCCGCTATACATATGTCATTTGTAAATGAAGATATTCCTTTAGGTTTTTTAAACCCTAATAGATGACAACTAATAGTTTCAAATTCTAATTGAATTAACAATTAAGCGTTTAAAAATAAATATAATGACAACAATACTAATTAAATAGTTCAATAAAAAATCCCCATACAATTTATTATGGAAGTTAAAAACAAACGAACGCTTAATTTACTTGGGAAGAAACATAGTAAGTTCATTAATGAGATACCGAGACAGGATAAAAATAAAACGGTTACACCCATAGTAGCCGTGTGGAAACAAACAAGTGTCGGAACATGGGACGAGAAGCGGACGAAAATATCACAAGCTATCACATCAAACATAATCTGTACGTTATGTTACGACTACTTGTGTAACTGCCATCTGTTATGACTGCATTCTCTCGCTTTATTTCTATCCTGATATATTTCAGCTATAAACTTTGTTACCAAATTAAATCAAAAAATACATTGAACGAAATATTTTTTTTAAATACACTGTCTATACTTATTTAATCAAACAGAACCATAACTTGTAATTTTGTCGGAGCTTACGTTGATTTATTGTTTTAAATTCCAACATAGGTGAGTATTAAAGTTGAAATTAATGGTAGACATGAAAGGTAAAGGCGGTACCGCTTTGTGGTAGTTCGAGTTTAAACCGCGGCCTGCCAAAGTTAAGTAATGTCTCGCTTCTGAACAAATTTCGTGAGGGTACATTCATTTTAGTTAATAACATAAAGGTTTTATTATAAAGTATTCCGAAATGTTTCAAATGTTTTTGAAGTTTTAAATAAATCCTAACCAACTTTAACTTACCTCTTTTTTTCTGTAATAAAGCGTTACGATAAAAGCTTTGAAGTTATAAAAATGTTTTCGTTCAAGCCAAATATGTACGTTATTTTTTCGACTTCTAAAAATACACAGCTCTTAATATGGAAGGCTCTCTTTTACTTGCTAATGAGACTTGTTATTTGCAAGTAAAAGATAACTCCTTATTTTTGTACAAGCTATAATAATAACTTAGACATGTGTTGCTTTTAATGATATATTAGAAAGCATAATCTCTGGAAACATGGAAATCTTATCAAGCTTATAGATATTATTCATAGTATTAAATAGGGAAAATATTTTTGTAGTTTTGGGAAGATAAAATGCTTGAGGCAGAAATAAATTAAAATAACCTTCTTACTCAGTTACAGCGAGGTTTAAATTTAAGTGATATCGATAAATCAAAATTCATCTTCGAAACTTCTTACATGAATAAAAAAATTATTTTATACATATAAAAGTTTCATGAGTCATTCGTTTCCATTTTGATACACAATACGTAGCTCTCAATAAGCGAATCTGCGAGATGTGGGATGAAATATTGCCTTCACATTTGCAGAGAGCTTGGAAAAACTAGCAAAGTGAACGGAGACAGACAGCCATTTCCGGCCGTATATCTTTTTAGTCCTCGGAAATCGTAACATCTGGTTCGCTTCATTGCGGAACTAAGTGGGAGTAGGCTTCGTATACACTTCAAAATCTCTATCCTTTGACTTATTACTGTAATTTAATATCTAAAACTGATACAGCATTCGTAATTATGAGTTACATTCTATATTTTACTCAATAAACATTGAAAAGTTTATCTAACAACAGTCAAATATTTATTAAAACTTATTTATATACAGTTGCAACACTTAATACTTGATTTGCTTTTTTAATAGATAATTGTTAGAGTTATATAAGAAAACTAGGTAAGTATATATTATTACATAGAAATTATAAAAAAAGGAAAATTTATTTAAGCATCAGAGGATTAGTGGGGAGTTGAAATCGCGTTTGAGCTTCCGACATCAAAGGACTTGATCGGTAAATGGTTTCTCTCAGACATCGCATCATCCTATACAAGTATTAATAAATCTATCTTAAATTATTTTGAAGGCGCTTTAAATAATTTAATATCGTTATGGAAACGATTTTTAATTATTTTGATCAGAGTAAATAAAACTAGATAGCAAGTTAACACTGTGTATTATATACTGTAATAACATACTCATTATAAAATAATTTATAGCGAAAAGTATAATATGGCATTTCGATCGTTGTACACACCCTGAGGGGACACCCTCTGTCCATGTCCAGTTTTCACTTAGTTGTTTTTTACCATCCAAATGCTACGGTAGTCTGTCTGCACTGACTAGATGCAAAAACGAAAAGTACGAGACTCATCATACATTTTTTTCATCGTCTGCCAATCAAACCCGTCAAAACCTACGTTGAATGCCCATAGCGCCTACCTTATACTCAGCAACTGCACGTTAGCTTTAAGATTTAAAGAATCTAAATTTAATAATTAACACATTTGAATTGTAGTCTATACTATTGTAATGAAGCGTAAACACACACTTCTTTGTTGCCTAAGATGTCAGCAATTATAGCTTATTTTTGAATAATTCTTTTTGTAATAAAAAGCCCTACACTTACGTCATGCTTTAGACAGTGTATTTTCACGCCATTAAACATAGGAGGTTTTGGATAAAAACCCTAATGTGGGAAAGAGACTATACCATAAGTTGCTGCCAACATCAAGGAAGCAAGGTTGCCATGGGTTGTCATAATGTCATGTCATTTTGATATTTGCAATTGATAATTTGACACATGTAAACAATAAAATAAAATTTTCATAATTTTATGCGGATGAAGCCGCATGGGAACAGCTAGTCTTAAATAATGACAACTCCTCTAAATGTGCGAGTACTCAAGTGGAAAGATTCTTGGAATTACTAATTAATTGAAATGTCTGTACAATGTTAAAGGATATCTGAATCTTAATTATCAAAAGTTGTTTGTAAAGTGAATACAGACCTTAAATAATTCCTACATCATACATAACTTTATCCATTACATTTTAAGACATTGTATGAAAATATATCGGTGGTTATAAAATCTTATAGGTAATATGAACTTAACTTAAGCACACAGACATCGATGACGTCAGATGCCCGTCGCTTCTCACTTCCAAACGCCTACATGATTAATTTTATTTTCTACTCCGCGAATCTTAATTTACATTTTCTTTTGATACATTTTTTGCCTTTTACGTTCAGAGTCGCTGTAAAACACATTTTCTCGTTATACATAAATAATTTGTTTATTTTTGTTTTGCTAAAAAGAATTATTAATTTGTACTTTTACAATTTAAAAGCACTTAGATTGCCTGTACTAATGTGACCTGTGAGGAGAAATTGTATACAGTTTTTTAAGGAATTGTAGAATATAAGATAGTAGAATTTAATAACATTGTTAGAACAGAAACACATAAGGCTTTTAAAGTACGAATTGATGTCTTTTACGAAGATATATTGTAATGAAAAAGTTTCTTAATAACAGTTGCCTCGACAGATATTTTCTTTATAAAGTAATCGTGAGCGCTGTGAGCTATCCAGTTGATTAATGTTAAGAGTAAGTCGACACTAACTTGTTTCGAAGGACGAGCCATTGTCCGGGTTCGAGATACTTCGAAACAGAAAACGACTTTAAGAACAGACCCTTAAAATAGATGATATCCAACAGTGACAAATAGGCTTCGCTCCCTACAACGTGTTTTTAGGTTTTTCGGGATTAAACGCAGACTCAGACAAATTACCTTTTTTTAAGATGTACACAGAAAAAATAGCAAAAGCGAAACATATACTTTTCTACGTTCATAAACGTTTAATTCTTTTCTTTATAAAAAAAAGTTGCGGTACATTTACCGAAATACGAAATGAATTGCGCGGTTTTTATAACAGGAACATTTCTCATAAAAAGAAGGTAATGAGACTGGATCATTTCGGATGCAAAAAGGCGGAAAATCCCGAATGTTTTATATTGCCCTCCTTTGTGTATTCGCTGATGCAAATAAATTAGATATTGCAGTGTTATGAAGACGTCGTCTGCGTTGTTATATTATAATTAATACAAAGAATTTAATAATGTGCCTTACAATATTGTCGCGTTCCTGTCACAATGACATCAGCTGCCCCTCTGCTATTGAAACTTGACCCGCCTTGCGAATCAGATGCGGGTTGGGGGAGTTTAAAAATTCTCAAAATATCTTCTTTCAAAGTAATGCAAATTATATTCAAAATTAAAATTTATAATTAAGATTTTAGGAGGAAGAGGAAGCACTAACCTCAGAAATATAATAAAAGTAGAGAATTGTTCTTAAACAAACAGCCCGGCTGTTTTGAAAAAGACTCGTACTGGCGAGGGTTAATTGGCGAATTAAATCATTAAGAGGGAATAATTCTTATAAGATTCCATATGATGCAAGCTTAGCTGGTGCAACATATCGTGTGCATACATACTATTTGATAAGAACAATTAGTAATAACCAGCTGCATTTCCCACCTGCAGCCATGTATTATGAACAGGATGACCCAAGTTCCGGAACCGTCCTTTAAAGCCTTTCTTTACGAGCTACAGCTGTGGTATTCCGCTATTCAAGCAATAACGATATTGAATCTGCACGTTAAATTTAAGAAATAAATTCAGTGCCTACATTACATGAGCTTTGTAAAATATTTAACGATGTAAATTCACGTTTTTAAATTAACGTAAAATATTTCAACTATTGATTAATGTATAGGTAAACTAGTGTTTGCCCGCAACTCCGTCCGCGTGAGATTAAAATGAAACACAAGTGAGCCTATGTGTTCTTCAAGACTACCCTCTACATCTATACCAAATTTCATCGAGATCCGTTCAGCAGTTTAGGCTACAAACATCCATCCATCCATTTAAAATTTCGCATTAATAATATAAGTAAGAAAGTAAGATGTGCGTTCAATGCAAATGTAAAGCTTCAAGCATTTTAATTCATATTTGTGTGAGTTAGACAATAACTCATACGATATTAAAAAATGAGACTAAACTAACAGTTTACAACACGTGCAGTAACTTTCATACTTCGGTCCATTGTTTAAATCACAAACAGAAAAAGTAGAGTAGAAAT